TCCTCTCTCCTTGTCCCACCTACTTCCTGCCTGGCCACTGGCCAACCAGTGTTTTATTTATTGACCAATCAGAGCAATTTGACATATAGACCGTCCCACAGCACAACATGGCTCACTGGGCAGCAGCACTTGTCATGCAATCTAACTTGACTGAGTTTGATCCTGGAATCCACATAAAAGTGGAAAGAGAGAGCCAGCTTCTCCAAGTTGTCCACTGACCTTCACATGACCATCACATGCGTACCTCCCGCTCCTTATGTAGAAATAATACACAAATAACTTTTCAAAATCCACTCAACTAATATGGGATCCTTTTATCATTTTAAGTCTATTGGATTTTGCCAAGTAACTGAACATAAATGGTATTTGTTATTTAACTAATTTACAAGAACATAAATTGTACTAGAGAGGTGATCACCCTCAAGATAAATTATACACACTCTCAATACAATACATAAATTAAAAAACATTAATCTATATCTTCTTAATTCAGTAAAAAAAAAAAGTTCAAAACTTAAAAGATTATTCCTTATCAGCCTTCTAGCTAAACTCAAGTGTAAAAATTATAGAACCAACAAATAACAGATATACTATTTTATTTATAGTTTAATAACAATCGTGCTAGTGAAACAGGTGTCAGAGTGTGTTAAACTCACAGGTAAATGGCTTCTTAGATGAACAGTCAGCAGAAAAAATTTGCGTTCCTTTCAGATAATGACAACTTTGATTCTTTTCTGAATCATTAATTCTGTATAAAAACAATAAAAAGAAAATCAGAAATCAAGAGGTGATCACTGCAGATATCATTTTTTGTTTCAAAGTTAGAATTAGGTAAAACACGCACAAGTCAAAAAGAAGGGAAAAATATTGTTACAGGAAAAAAAACAAAGTGCTCTGAGGGGAGTGGGGAGATGGTTTTTAATTACAAAACACTAAACATCAGACACAAGCTAATCCTACACTGTCTGAAAAAGTGGGATTGTGATTCAAATAAAAAGGAAGTGGTACAAGGCTTTAGAGTTACAAACTTTCTAAAATGATGTATAAATATCTCCAGGGAGTCCTGTAGAATAAAACCACAAATATTCTAAATATGAGATTACTTAAGACTGACATGTTTTCTCTCCTATGGTCCACAGACTGCTCCTTCCAAAGCAGAGCTCTGTCCTTTCTTCCGAATGCTCCTTCTGTGCCACACATAGACAGGATGCACATGTACAACAATCCCACTACCCTCAGCAAAGCCTACTTTATCCAAACATTGCACTTACCGAGTTTGCTCTATTTTAGTGGCATTTTCCTTTTTGAGGAGAATCCACCCATCAAATTGAAACAATAGTATGTTTTCCTGTTGAGTACAGAAAAATCACAACCCATAACTGAGTATATAATTCTAATCCCCTTTTCTTTCTTTTTTTTCCTTTTAAAAATATTTACTTGTTTAAATTTATACATCTTTTTAAAATTTGAGACAGAATTTTATCCCATAGTCCAAGCTGACCTGGAAACTCACTGTATAAACCAAAATGTCCTCAAACTCACAGTGGTCCTCCTGTCTCAGCCTCTCAAGTGCTGGGGTGTTGGGAATGAGTCACTAAGCTGGTTGATCTGCTCCTTCTTTATTAAATAGCAGGTTTGGGTCTCCCAAGGTCTTGCACAGCCTGCTGCATAGAACGTGCCAGTGGGAGCTCATTTGCTACTTTGGTTTGCTTGCAGCATTAAACATTGTAATGCAGCAGAGTCCTCCCTATTTTCTCAGTAAAGACAATAGTAAGTCATCATAAGCAGCTGTCACAGGCCCTCCAGAACATTCTGTTTACTAAATTGTGGTCTTCATGACCAGTGTTCCAATGCAAATAGTTACAAAGAAACAGAAAAACAGGAATGTTTGACCTACCAGCTCTGCTTTGGAGTCAATCTCCAGAAGATGAGAATTCAGTTCCTCACATGCAGACTGACTGTGTACCCAGCTTTTGATTCCATAAAAACTATGATGATGATAGAAATTGTTTCCAAAAGCAATCCAGTCATGTGAACAAAGATCACAGGAGCCATCTAGTAAACACACGTGTGAAATGGGTGCTCAGTAATAGAATAACCGTTATTAATACAACTATTAGTTGCATGCATTTTTTTTTTTTTTTTTTTTTTTGGTTTTTCAAGACAGGGTTTCTCTGCGTAGCTTTGCACCTTTCCTGGAGCTCACTTGGTAGCCCAGGCTGGCCTCGAACTCACAGAGATCCACCTGGCTCTGCCTCCCGAGTGCTGGGATTAAAGGCATGCGCCACCCCCGCCCAGCTGGATTTTTTTTTTTTTTTTGGTTAGTTGCATGCATTTTTAACACATGGGAATATTAGACTTTTTTTTTCCTAGCAAATTTCAGGGATTTTTTTTTCCTGGGGTCGCAACTTGTGAAATCTTGGCAAGCATTCCACTAATGAAGTATACATCCTTAGGTGGTTTCCTAAAATTCTATGGAATTCTTACACAATCTATATGTGACAAATATTGTTAGTCTGATATTCATAATATAATTTTCAATATAAAAATCAATAAAAAGTGGCACTCATAAGGAATATATTTCAAATAGTGTTACAAGGATTTTGACAGGATTAAATAAGATATATATATATATATATATATATATATATATATATATATATATATATATAAATATATGTAAATGGATAAACAACATGTAGCATGTAAATGAGAAAAGCTATTACTGAATAGTAATTCAATTAGAGCCATCATTAACAATGACCTATGTATGTGGGATCAATGTGACTGATGTCTAAGGCATGTGCTCTAACCTTTCAATAATACTGTACCATCTGCCCAAGGTCTCACAATTTTGCAAAAAAAGACTTGAAATCACATTGTTCTTAACATGACTATATTCCTCTTTCTCTTTTGTGAAGAGAGATATGGGCTTCTATTCATCTCCAAAGGTTGTTTAATATATTCAGTGAGATATAAAATGTGTTATTTTATATTTTATAAGTCATTAACACACAATATTTTTAACCATTGTTTTGCAAATAATATCCATGTTAAGAAAAGTAGACTAATACTAAAAGCCTAGTATTTTATGGAATATTGGACATAAATCTGAAATAACTGTTTATTTTATCTTTTCCTAAGTTTTAGGTCACTGTAATGAGTGCTGCATCAAACACCTTGTCATTTTTTTTTTTTTTAAATCTGTCTCTGTAAGCATTTGGGGAGGCTGGAAAAGCTTATCCTGCCTGCAGACAGCAAAGCTAGGTCTAGCCAGTAGAGGCTCTTGGTGTGCAAAGCAGGAAGACAACTAAAGTGAAGACATATCTGGTGGACACCTGTCCATTTCACGCTAGGGACCAGTGTAAATCAGAGAGAAGTCAAGAGTCTCCAATTCAAATGACCTCTCAGCATCCAAATGGCAGAGCTCAATTTAGATGATAAGATGCCACTCCAACATATCATGTTTTTTTTCCCCCTTTTTCTTTTTATTACACTTTTAATATTACTTTGTCTTTATCTTTTATTTCAAAAAATTACAAGTAAAATAAAATGAAAGCCCCTAAACTTCATTATTTTCCTAATTACATTTATTTCACTTTGTCTATGGACCTTTTTCCTAATTGGGAAATCTTTTTAAATCTATTGCTATTTTATTGTACTCCTTATGATGTTAATTTCCATTCTGTTGTTGGTTGTTTTTCTTTCTTTACTCTTTTTTTTGTGGGGGCATGGCACCCAATTCCCAAATAAATCACATGGAGAATTATTCTTTCTTACAAATGCCAGGCCTTAGCTTGGCTTATTTTTAGCTAGCTTTTCTTAACTTAAATTATTCCATCTACCTTTTACCTCTGGGCTTTTATCTTTCTCTATTCTATATACCTTTCTTTACTTCTAACTCTATGGCTGACTGTGTAGCTGGAGGGCTGAACCCTGATGTTCTCTCCTTTTTCATGATCCTCTTCCCTTCTTCCCAGATTTCTCCTCCTATTTATTCTCTCTGCCTGCCAGCCCCACCTATTCTTTCTCCTGCTTGGCTATTGACTGTTCAGTGCTTTATTAGACCAATCTGGAGTATCAGATAGGCAAATTAATTTAGCTTCACAGAGTTAAACAAATGCAACATAAAAGAATGCAACACATCTTTGCATCATGAAATAAATGTTCCACAGCATAAATGAATGTAACAAATCTTCAACTAATATTATACAATACCATTCTTCTTCTTTTTGTAATTCTTATATTTAGTCTTGCTTTTCCAATAATTTCCCCTTTTCATGTACTTCTAAACAACTTATTAATTCATTATTTTTATATTTGCCCCAAATAATTTTAAAATTTATAGCACACTCTGCATTAACTTAGCCATTTTCCCATTTCTGGTCACTGATGACATATTAGTGGTCTTGGATGTGCTTTTTTTTATATAATAGCAGTTTTCTTCTCTTCTCTTAGTTGTGCTAGGTTTTATGTCTTCAGTAATGGGCTACTCACTAAGAAGAACCCAAAATGAGGTGGGAAGACATCCAAACCAAAGACGCACAATCACAACACAGAAGCACAAGAAAGATTGAAAAAAATGGAAGATATCTTCTCCAAAGAAAACTCCTTAATTAATGAACTCAAAGGTAGGAACATGGTGTCACAGGAGAATTTATTTCTTCTTGGCCTTCATGGAACAGAGGTCACCACAGAATGCATTGGTTCTGCAGTTATGGCAGCTAAAAAAGCAAGAACAAACAGTGATGCAGGGATCCATGTTGATGGTAACAGATTTGGTAATGCTTCCTGATGAGGGGGTGGTGGCACACTCCTTTAATCCCAGCACTTGGGAGGCAGGGCCTCCTGGCCCACAGCTGAGATTTCTTTCCTCACTGCCCCCTCCTGATATACAAGGTTTTGTATGAGAAGGAGTTATGTTAATATGTCAGCTGAGGGTCAGATTCCAGTGTGGCCAGTGAGCTGTTGCCAATGCTAGGGTGGATGTTTCCAATGAGGCAGTTGTTTTTACTCACCATGTTCCTAACATAACCTCAATAAACACACTTGTTAACCTAATTGTAGATGTATTTCTAAACGGTCTTATTAATAAAAAACAAACAAACAAATAAACAAACAAACAAACAAACAAAAACCCAGAGCCAGGTATTGGGGTGAATGCTAAAAGGTCAGAGAAACAGAACCAGCCACAGCTAACTTTACTTTGCCAACTTCTCAGTTGATCCTGTTTCCTCAAACTGGAAGCCTTTGTGTCCTCATCTGGAATAAATCTCAGCTGAACTGTGCTGCTCAAAAGCCTGAAAGCTTAACCAGTTCTAGTTCCTGGTTTTCACACCTTATATACCTTTCTGCTTTCTGCCATCACTTCCTGGGACTAAAGGCACGAGTCACCGTGCCTAGCTGTTTCCAGTGTGGCTTTGAACTCATGGAGATCCAGATGGATCTCTGCCTCCCAAGTGATAAGATTAAAGGTGTGTGTGCCACCATTTTCTGGCCTCTATGTCTATCTAGTGGCTGTTCTGTCCTCTGACCCCAGATAAGTTTATTATGATGCACAATATATTGGGGGACACAATATATCCTCACACCTAATGGGCTTCATTGAAATTATTTCTTTAATCTGTTCATGTCCTGTGTGAAGTGTATAGATATTTCTTTATATTTTTTTATGAGATAACAGTGCTCTCAAATAAGCAAAATGCGAGAAAAACTGTTCAATAGTCTACTTGTAAAATGATCAATAACTTTAAAGAAATTAGTAATGAATGATGTAAGAAAATCAATTCATGGCCTGGAAAAAAAACAATCACCAACATAAATGAAAAAGTAACATAGAAGAAAAATCAGCAAAGAAATTTAAATTTTTATCAAATGACCACAAATAAGTGAATAAGGGGAAAAGCCCCATACACACATGCACATACACTACCACCACCACCAACAACATAACAGGAATAAGCAATCAGTGACCATTAATATCTCTCAATATCAATGAACTTAAATTAAAAAAAAATACAGGCTAGCCAGGTGGTGGTGGCACACTCCTTTAATCCCAGCATTTGGGAGGCAGAGCCAGGCAGATCTCTGTGAGTTCAAGGCCAGCTGGGGCTACCAAGTGAGTCCCAGGAAAGGCACAAAACTACAGTAGAGAAACCTTGTCTTGAAAAACAAACAAACAAAACAAAACAAAAAGATACAGGCTAATAAAATGGTTACAAAAACAGAATCTATCCTTCTGTGGCATACAAGAAACACATCTCAATATCAAAGATAGACATTACCTCAGATTAAATGGTTGGAAAAAGATTTTTGAATCAAATGGACCTTTTTAGTGGGTGTGGCTATCCCAATATCTAACAAAATAGACTTCACACCAAAATTAACCAAAAGAAAGGAAAAGGAGGTTTCATATACATTAAAGAAAAACATCCACAATGTGATGTTTCAATTCTGAACTTCTATGCCCCAAATGCAAGGGCACTACATTTGCAAAAGAAGCATTACTAAAGCTGCAATCACACATCCACATCAAATCCTAATTTAATAGTGTGGGGTTTCAACACCCCACTCTCACCAAGGGGAACATCATCCAGAGAGAAACTACACAGAGAAATAAAAGGACTAACAGATGTTATGACTCAAATGGACCTAACAGATAGCTACAGAACATTTTATCTAAATACAAAAGAATATACTTTCTTCAAAACACCTCATGGAACCCTCTTGAAAGTTGATTGCATACTCAATCACAAAGCAAGTCTCATCAGATACAAGAAAATTGAAATAACCCCCTGTGGATCAAAGCACCATGGATTAAAGTTGGATTTCAACACAGAAAGCCTACTAATGAAAGCTATTAGGGTCTTGCCCCAAAAGCTTTCTACCAGAGTCCAAGGAAGAATGTACAACCAGCTAGGAAATCTACATACCTGAGGGTAAGAATGAATCTATGCACACTGTGCCCTTTCAGTCCATCACTTTATTGTTCTAAGTAAGCCTCCTGATATCTCTGCTGTTCTTTCTTTGTTCTGCTGCTTTTCTAAATCTACAGC